AATGACTCTATTAACAGCTTCCCTTTTTGGGATAAATGTCGACTTTAGGTTGTGTCGTAGCGCAGTCTTATCTATAGTGTGGGATGCCCCGTGCTGTTCTAAACTAACAAGTTTATTGCTCGACTCGTATTATGTCTACTAAATCACGAGTAATTAATAATAAATTTGAATAATTATGTTTTAGACTGATCGCAATTTAAATCACATAGCTCTACAGCCAACATTTATCATTCAAGCAATGTAAGTAAATGCCTTGTTGATGAATTTTGTTAACCAAAATGGTTTAATAAAAATAAAAACCGATTAGAAATTCACACTTTCGAGATATAAAATCAGATAACACAGAGCAGAAAGAAAGTGTTTCGTTTGCACAAAAGTCAATAGGACTATAAATACGGCTTCTCATTTCAAGATTATCGAGATAACAGTAAAACGTCAATAACCACCTAATTGGGAGAGAACAGCCTGGCAGCCGGGCAGCCGGGCCCGTCCTTAGTGAGAAACAAATAAATATTGTAGCACGGTACGAGATAATTTGCCCGATAACTTAATGTGCTTACATTTCGAATCTGCTCATGATTTTATGGGAAACTATCACACCGTATATTTTTTATTCAATAGTGTCGGAAACTAATCATTAGGTGCCGGTTTTTTTTATATCGTGTTTTTAGTCATAATACGTGTGAACAAGTAAATAGTGCATACCGATCGTCCTACGCGAATCGATAAACATAATCGTTAGTATCACTCGTTTATATGTTAATCACATTTCAAATCGATTATCATTATATTTTAGTGTATCGATCATCGAAGACTCGTATGACTAATTAAAATTAATTTATGTTGTGCTCGGAATGAGTGGTTTGTCGCTCAACTATTTATATCTATTTCCCTTTAATCTTTTAATTTGAATTGCCTACATTTTATGTTCACGTCGGTTTGTTTGCATTTAATTTAAATATATCCATAAGTTTCAATTTGAGTATATTTTTTAATGACTTAACTTTCAAATGAGATACAGGATTGCCCTTTGGGTACGCTTTATTATTTGAGGTTTAGATTGGTGTAACTTAGATAAGCTAAGTTAAGATATTTAAATAATAATAATTAATTTTATCAATCAAGGATCTTAATTTGGTCACCTCACTTGATGGTGCCTTAGTTTAATTTCACCCCACACTAATCAATATCAATTCAGTACTGATTTAACGATAAAATTCCTTATACGATTTTATTAAGCGAGATGCGCCGATACGCTCCTGCAGTTGAGTGCAAACTAATTTTGCGTGTCAACCCAAAATCCTCAACGCTCCTTATGGGGGACATAACTGCCTCCGATGTGGCTCAACACCGAGTGGGTATTTAAAGAATTTATGTTATGATTGCTCAGTCAATTTGCATAAAAATAATATGGGAATTTTATGTGCGAATGATGTCATATCCTCCGGTGTTTTGTTAAGAAATGTGTGAAAAAAATTAACATGCATAAATGTTGTTTTTGTAAGTTAACGCGATTATATATTGAATGAGTTTATTTTTTTCGAAAGTGTTGATTGGATTGAGTAAAAAATAATGATAAAGGCATTAATGAGTTAACACTTTTATATTAAACCAAACAAAAAGTTCTTTTAATTTTCTCTGAGCATGTCGATAAGATATATCTACTTATAAAATAAATGATTATTATCTATTACTAGTATAAAGCTATCAAATTATTTTGATGATTTATTATTAAAATAAGACTTGGCTACTAATTTATTCAAATCCATCACTCACAAACAGATACATACAAATCACTACAAATTAATTGGGTATTATAAGTCTAATAAGGAGATAATGATTATTATGGTAGTCTAACTCTAACCTATAATCATAGCCAGTTAGGTGTGACGTCATAAAATAGATATCTATGTCTATAACAAAAACCACATGTATCTATGACGGAGCATTACTCGAGGACATTTTTTTAGTTTTTATTTTGTTTGACTTTCTTTTTTTTAATAATTCGTAATATAATATTGTACGATTTTTATTGTTAACATCGGAATCAGATCTTGTGGCGTTTATTTATTTAATGATTTTTTTCAGACCCTTCTCCGATTTGGTTTTGAAAATGTAACGTTTCGTGGAAACACTCGAAAGCTTTTTTGAATTTCGTCTTACAATTTTCGGATTGGTTTTCAATTCAAAGTTTAATACAAATTAGTTAAATTTGTTATTTGTAGAGTATATAATATTACTATGCATTCATAACTTAACTTTAATTTCCGATTAGAAAATAACTCTAATCAAAATCCTATCTATTTAGCTCCTAGTATTAAAATATGACAATAACACGGATAATATAATGAAATAGACATAAAGTACAATAAATATATGATGGTATAATCCCGGGTCATATCTCTGTATTAGCACTTTTTACGTGTTAAAGTATTGTGGAGATAGCGCTGTTCACACCACGCTCTTAATCTGTGCCCCATGTGACAGGAGCACGGCACACGGGACGCGTATTCAGACATACTGCCTGTTGAAACGGTATAGGATTGTATAGGTATTATTTTTATACGATTTTGATAGGTTTGGAATTTTTCCTGGTATTGTGGTTATAAAATGTGCTTTGGCAGTGTAGGTTGGTAGAATTTTATTCATTTTATCTTGAAATACTTTCTATACTAGCTTAATCTGACTTATGATTCAAACGCTACAAGCTCCAAAAATTTTTTTGCTAAAGTTAATTTTGAAATTATTTTATCAAAACATCAAACAAATAATTATTATGTACTATATTTTAGTATTGTGACATCTAGGTAATATTTATTCTCATCAATGATAAATGTTGATAAATAAATCTTGTGAAAATATACTAGTTTGTAGAGCATAGTGTGTAGTGACGCGGGCTGTGCGCTCGGCGCTTCAAACGACGGACAAAATTTATTGTTATTGGTGCGGGCGCGTACATGCATCCTCACTCCGCGCCTATCACGCGTTACAACTTTATCGAAGCACCTCACTATTCCGAATAAACGTAACGTCTTTATTCCACATACAACTGATTTTTATAACACACATAAATTTTACTATTTTGATTTGTTTGACTCATTTCTGATGATAAAGTTTATGGTGATTTATTAAAAATATTAATTTGATATTAAATGCCGTGTCATAAAAATACTGTGACGATTATTAAATATATATCATTGAACTCATATTTTAATGATTTATTTGCAAACTCAATCAAGAACACGATTATTATGTAGTTCTTATTAGCATTTTACTCATTAAAACCAATATTTCTATGAAACATAATACTTTCGATACCTGTTCGAACACAAAATCTCATTTTGATCCACTATAAACTAATCTAATTTGCTTAGGCACCAGAATAGGACCGCTCGCGCTCTCATGCTGCGCTATAAAGTTTCTGCGCCATCGCCAATTTGTTAATGATACTACATCTACATAATATGCACATTTACTCGCAAACTACGTATACAATATAAATATAAGATATTATTTGTACATTTGTGTCTACTGTCCACTCCATGATTAGGAGTAGTGAACATTTTAAGCTCTAATAATGTCTGTTCTCAGCGTATAGTACTTTGAAAGTCGTCTATTTACTTACTTACCAATTACACCCACCTTTATACCTTCTTTTTAATCTGTTTTATTTTTCTTTCTTCAATTCCTTTGTGAATCATCATCTATTTTGTAACTGCGTAGCTACTCAGACTTTTTAAGAAAATGTAACCTCGCGCTGCTGCATTTACTTTCTTGTGTACCATAGGTACATGGATTTACAAACAAACAATAACTAATAACTATTCTATTGACGAAGAACTCCTTCGACATAACGTCAATCTGATAAATGTACTAAAACGGTTATAATTGCTATAGTCGTCATCGTCATCACTATCAACCACAAGACATCACAACATAGGCTTTCAATGACTTTTAGATCGATTTATTGAAAGCGACCTATCTTCACGCAGTCGTGTTAAAACATAAAACACCTACTTTTGCAACCATCTCTTCCTTGTCAATGATACTGATGATTACTCATGATTGTCTTTCTAGTTTATTTTGTTACGAAATTCAAATCAATTAAACCAACTTTATTGAAAGTTTTTAATCCAGGATAAGATTAATTGATGTACAGGTAGGTAGGAATGTGATACCCAGTGTCGAACAACCATTGTTACTGAAGCCAGGTTTTTCTGTAACTCCGATCAGCTTTCACCATCGTGATTGTCGATATCCGGGAAGAAGTGAATCGATTTAATAACAATGTGGAAAAAAGGGGATAATTGTCGCCAGTAGGTACTGGCAAAGGGAGAATTACGACTCTATCGTTCGTGAACTTAATAACCGAACGCCGGATTTAAACTTTTTCCCCTTAAATTATCTTTTTCATGCCCTTTGTTAAGGATATCGTGATAATTATGTGATTATGAATCGTTTTATTTGTCCAACTTTCTTTCATTATAACAGGAGTATCATAATCTCAGATAATTGCCTTATCTGGTCTAGGAGTAGAATGAATTGAATCTGTCTACCTTTTTGCGTAACGTTGATCTACAAGTGTTCCTTACAAAATTTCATTTTCAGACTGGATTATATTCATATACCTACATCATTTGTGATTGAAATTAAAATCAAATCAACTCAAAAGAATTTCTATTAAGCTCCATAAAGCATTTTGTTATTCAATTTATGTTGAATATTATTCAAATAATAATTAATGAATTTAACTTCAGAAATAATGTATGATAAAATGAAATTTCATAAAGGTCTGCTTGTATCAGAAATTTCTTCAGATTGTTAGTATGTAGATATTACACTAAACAAAGATTTTATTTGGAAAGTTGATTCCCATCATGCTCACCTGAAAATGTTTTTATTAATACCTATATATGTAACAAGTTGTTATTTTAAGGGAAAGTAAAACAAAATGATTAATTGAATGATTTATTTTCATATTTTTGTAATATTTAGGTACGTATGTAAACTGTCTCCTATATTTTACAATAATTATTAATTTTCTAAGCAATAAATAGTATACAACGCTCATTGATTGTAACAATATTTACAAAAATAACTACTTAAGTACAACTTGGGACGTTGGAATGCAGAGCGCCCAATTAACGAATTCTATAAATAGTGCCGAAATTATAAACTTTAGTGACCTTATACAGTGTCTAACAAATACTTTTCAAATGTTTGTAATCATCTAAAATTTGTGTAAATATGTCTAAATTTTGTATTTCTCTGTAGATATGAATCACGTTAGGAACTTTTTTCTCCTGAATCCACTTTTTACCATTGATTAATAATACTTTGGTATACTCTCTCGAAGTATCACAATATCTAAGTACAAACCAGTTAGAGTCCTTGTCTATTACAAATATGTGTTGCGCCAGAGGTCCACTGACCAACTTCAGTCGCGATTGTCTAACTTTATTTACAACTATACACCTTTACCATAACTGCCTCCATTGAAATCGAATTTATTATTTGCCTTGTGTACCCCACAACATAACAGTTCAACAAATCACCATCTACTCGCCTATTTACCTACTAAAAGGGAGTTTGTGCATCGTTATAATTAATCATGTCTTCCTTAAACTAATTAACAACTCCAATATCTACATAGGTATTTACATTAATTTACAAACTAACTGGAGTATTAGCACTCTAGAATCTTAATTTACATAATTATTCGGAACATGGACATTCGATAGGAATGATAATTGTAATACTTTATGTAGGTAAAATGTAAATAAATTAATTATAATGACTGTATCAACGATCGTGTTTAGTGAGTTGTAGTGGTAGGTCGCTGGAGGTGGGTCGCTGCCGGCACGGGCTCGGCGAGCGCGACCTCCTCGTCGTGCGCTCCTCGTTGTCACTCTCGTCGTGCACGTTGATCTCCTCGTCCGAGTCCGAATGTGATTCGTATCCACGAGCTAACTGGATCGACTGCGCCGCTAACAATGCAGCAGCCGCTGAATGTGGTACTAGTGATTTAAACGCGCTATTCTCTAACGCAGGGTGTGGTTTAAAAGCGCTTCCATCAAACGCTGTCTGCTGTGAAAGTGCTTTCAGTGCGTTCGCATCAAATTGTTGATGCGCAAAAGCCTTCAGGGCGTTGGTGTCTTGGTGCGAAAGTGATTTGAATGCGCTATTTTCTCCGCCCATTTGCGGGGTGTGATAAGAGACGCGCGTGGGAGAGAGGGAGCGAGAACGGGAGCGGGAGCGGGAGGGGGAGTGGGGGAGGCGGTGCGGGGGCGAGCCGCCACCGCGCTTCAGGAGATTCATGCGCTGATGGCGTCTCCACTTGGCTCGTCTGTTGGAAAACCAAACCTGTCAGTAACGGTAAATAAAAATGATTAGTATTCTGTCATCAATGTTAACAAATTCAAATTAATGCAAATTGAAAAAGTGGGGTCTTTTATTGACATCTTTGGAGATTTTATTTGATATGGATCTGTATAATTATGCAAAAGGTCAAGTAATTTGAGCTAGTTACCTGAACTCGTGCTTCTGATAATGATGTTTTAGACGCTAGTCTTTCTCGTGTAGAGACGCAAGGATAATGAGATTTTTCAAATTCCTTCTCTAGTTCTTCAAGTTGGTCTTGGCTGAAGGTCGTGCGGTTTCTTCTGAACTTCGGTTGTTCTCCGTCTAATGAGCCAGAGTCGTCACCATCTACATCTATTTGGTAAAAAAAGAATAAATATTATTAAAACTCTCATCTAAGAGCCTTAAGATTTACTGCAAAGATAACATAAACCTAAAAAATATTTTTACCTATTAATCCTCGTCCCGAAGATAGGAATCCTTGATTAACATCAGGGTGTGGTACTCCTGATGGTGGACCCGGTACTCCAGGAGGTAAGGGTAGTGAGCCAGGAGGCCAGACTCCTCCACCGCCTCCCCAAGGAAATGCCCCATAAGGAGGGGGAGCTGCATAGAGCCCATAGCCTGCAGCCCTCGCAAACTCTGCAGCAGCTCGTTCCGCAGCCCTGTTCCTTAGTATCCTGTTAATTGATGATACGCTGGGGGCAGTAGCGTTTGTACAGACTCCTGTGGACAAAGAAAAAAGAATAACAAGGTTAATTGGTTTGTCTAGATTCCATAACGAATAATAACTCCTTTAACCTATAACGAATTTCCGGAGTACACAGAAATTAAAAAATAGTATGTAATTATTACAAGTTTACAAGCTCACATACAAATAACCAAAATCAGGAATAGTGCCCAGAAATCGTCATTACAACAACATAACCAGTGAATGTTGTTTTTCAAGTTGAGTAACCGCGATGGTTATACTCAGTGAGCTGTATTTAGTGTTAATGCACACCTTGCTAGAAACATTTCGCTTTAAGCACGAATATAGTAATTATGTAGAGCAGTTTTGAAACACGGTGTCTCTTAGAACGCAACACAAATGTGCATAAAATTATGGTCGCGCGTTAAAACCGATGCGTCATTGGTCGCGTTTTAAAATCGCCTGCACTTATAGTATTAAGTAACACAATCAGCTTATGCTACACCATGATTATTGTAATTATTCCACGAGTTAGTAGTGACTTGGAAAATTATAGAAACGTAGTTGTCATGTTCCCTTTTTTGTTACATTTGTTTTGGTCTTTCTAAGCATCCTGGTGTCGGAAAACCAATTATCTTTTTCTGTCTGGAAGAATAGAGTTACATGTAACTTAACAATAAGTGCTTGTGCCAAACTGAACTGTATAATTGTTTACTCTTTGATCAGTCACTCCTGATAATAACAATCTTACGAAAATATGAATTTTCTGATAGATAAGAATATCTATTTCTCAAACAATGCACATTAAATCATCCATAAGCACACGGAGAACATTATATCAATACTCAATAATTTACACTTGGACAGTAACGCCATAATGATCCCCTACACACTACATGAGCTTGGGTGAATTGTTGGTAATCATCAAATGATTGACGTACAAGCTGATCGTCGTTCATAAGAATCATACAACGTGATCGATATTTATAGTACATATCAATGACAATGATGTGTACCATTGATATTTAGAGTATAATTATATCATTGGAATTTTGAAGAGTCAGCATCATCATCAGTCAGAAGACGTCCATCACTGAACATAGGCCTCCTCAAAAGTTTTAAAAAGTAACTCAAAGAAATTAAATAAAAATGTATTTTAGACTGATTGCTTGATTTGCATGATATGATTTAAGGCTCAAAGCCGAGCTCTGAACGTGTCGTAACGTAAACTAAATGTGCGCGCGAGTTAACTGCGTGCCTCGATCGCGTGCCGGTGCAGCCTTGGAGAGCCATCCCATGTAATTTTCAGGAAACACTCGAAGTAAGTGCCATAATTTAATCATAGCCTGTCCAAGTGTAATTGTCGTAGGATTCGTTGTTGAGCTACCGAGCAAGCCACTGAACTGTTATGTTTTAAATAACTTTACTTTTGATTGCTCTTTTATTCTTCATTCATGAATGCAAGTTTGAGTTTGTGTGTGAATGTAATGCCGTAAAGTAATTCACAAAAATATTTAGTAAGTATGCACTTATTGCCTCCTTCAAGAATAGTTAAGTTAGTTGGAAAGTTTATTATCATTCTTACATTTTTCTAATAGATAGCGATATATTCATAGGTTAATAATTAATTCAGAAAACATCCTAATTTTTAAACACTGTAAGAATTTTCTACCTACACAACCCATATTTATGATATAAAGGAGTCCTATTACATCATGATAATATTTCCAATAACAAATTAAGAAAATTAATCAGACATAAAGACAAGAAAGTGTGAAAGGGTTGATAGTTTTCTACCTATAAATCAACAATAATTTCTAAGCACACAAATTAGACATAATAACTGAAGCCACAATAACGACTAGATGTCTCCATTTATTAGCTGGCCTTAAATTAGCTAAACGATAGCGTTCCGCCGTCCTGCTAATTGCAGGCTTAATAATGTAAACAGGACAAGGCATAAATATCGAGGAATAGAACTTCAACAGAACCATAGCAGCCCGAGTAAACACTACAAGGAAGCTAAAACAATTATTGTTTTGTCATTAACTACATATTGCAATCGACATAACAACCTACTTGTGTTATTAACGGCAGCAATCCCAAACAATTTTCATAACTAATAACTACAACAACTGCTTGTTCAGACTCTGCATGAATTACTCGCACTTTATCGTACGTACCAATGTTCAAAGGCAATTTGTCTGCATTTACGTAGAATAGATCCATTTAATGCAAGCCAGTCATTTAAGCAGGTTGTAACTTAAGACAATTATATCCAGGAACAATAATTAAACCTAATTGCTTAATGATTGTTGTGCACGTGACCGGATAGAGAGACATTTTCTATAATATACGACCTGCAATAGAAAATTCCGCAATCGCGTTTAAAAATATGCCAATTGTTTGTAATAAGGAAACGCTTTGATAGACCTCACAGATATGTATAATAATTATTATAATAACGCTTGAGACTATTGCGATTCATGAAGATGGATTTAAAGGCGGTCACCGTTGATAATGAAGCGCTATTGTGAGGCGGGCCGGCGCGCTCCGGCGCAACCACCGCTTGACGTATCAAATAAAACACAAAACGTACCTGTTATAATTTACTCAAAACACAAAGCCTTATACAGTATAATGGTAATGATCAGTTGCGCGGCTTCGTTCATTGTTAGCACGTCGAAAAGTATAAAAAGGTGCCCTCTACACAATTTGTTTGGTTCGTAATCGGTGCGTTGAGACGAAGGCTCGATAGAACCGCCTTCTGTGCCGCTGGACGTCAAAAGTCAAAAGCTTGATAGCTGAGAACACTACAATGGTGACTAGTCATCACTTACCAGTCAAGATCTCTAATTACAATGGGAGCAGCCGTTTTTCAAAAATAAAACAACCCGTTGAAAATCTCTTAACGTTTTGTGGGAGCTCAGCGACGCGTCGCCGCTACTTAATCTACTCCGTCTTCTATTCTTTTAAATAACAAAAAACTTCAATGATCTTTAACTGAACAGTTAAATTGGTTTTTGTCTAGTAACAAGCACGTAGCCTATCGATAGTTTCGATCGACAACGTTCTACACAGGCGTGTTTTCAATTTGGATAAGTCGATAATTTTATTATGAAAAAAATCACCATTAAACGCGTTACTGTCAATGATCTGATAACATGTTATTTCATCAGTATACACCGTGCGAAATGATTGAGTTTTCTGCAGCTGATTGCATTATAATGAGTGTACTGTGTGGTATCATAATATATAATTTTACCGAACTTTACAGACAATGAGCACCGATCAGTGACCATAGTGGTAGTATTTGTTTAGAGGTAGATCATTATCCATCAACAGGTTGCAGGTGGGAATGCGATATCTATAATTGTTCTTTTAATGATTTGGGATCGGGCCCGGATCCTACATGCTTAGTCACGGTCATGCAATTTGTCTAAAGTCGTTTAATCATGATTAGTCACAATAGGGTCCGCTTCTATTAAAAGGTTAGATGTCTACAACATAAAGAGCATCTTATACATCAGTACGCAGGGGCTGTCGGTAACGGCACAATTAAAAGCGATAGAGTTTTTTCTTATCCCATCATTATACGGCGGAAAGCGATTAATTATCGAATTAACAACATTTATACGTGCGCGCTTTACGAAAGCGGTTGCATTACAATTTGCTCAAGATAATAGGTGTTGAGTGTTGATACATAACAATTATTTTATATAAGCTCTTAATTGCTGCATGCCTCTTGAATGAAGGCATAAATTGAAATATGTAGCGTTAAACATGAAGCCAGTGATTTAGATTCCCGTGGCATCCTAATAAAAAGCAAATTGCTTTAAAAATCTTAATGTTTCTGCGTTCGAGTGTTGTTAGTTGGTACCTGCCTAAAAGCGTGGCATGTCCAAAGATAAGGCACTCCGGCGCCGTCTGGCTATAGACTGTTTAATCGGGTTAATTTATCGATAATTGACGGAAAACCTTTTTGTTTGTAATGCCGGGAAGTAACAGTAATTGTCACGCCTTTGAAGATTTACGCTCGTTTCTAAATTGAGACATTAACAGTCGGATCTCGTGCCTAATGGTTTGGAATGAATTTGTTTGTTTGTTTTACTTATACCGGTTCTTCGATACGTTCGGCTGGTAACGCGACGGATGTCGGATTCTATCGAACCACGCTAATTAGCTTTAGACAATATTTCAAATGTCTACGGCAATTAATTAGCTTGACGTTTATTTGGCGAAATTGTTTGTCTAACTAGTATTGAACACGAATTCCGATATAATTTAGTGGTAGTCGATGGTGGAATATTATTCGAGAATGATGATTAAATTCCAAATAGACTTTGATAAACTGAGGTTGTACCTATTCAATAGATTAGGTGTTTGATCCCAATCTTGGAGACATTATCAATAATCATTTTATACAAATTTTCTTAGCATTGCAACTTTAATTACTTACAGACTGAATAATTCACTGCAGAACCTTATTATCAACAGACAAGTAGAATACACACTTAGGTAATACTAATATTCGATATTGACTGTGTTATTGATATTTATTTGATACGTACTGTAAGCAGTACTTACAGTATGTATGGAACTTATTTCCAACAAGAAGTCTTGAAATGTGGTCTTTGAAGAAAAAAAATCCACCCACGTTACACTATGTTCATTAAATTGTTCAGGAAAAAACTACTGTAAATTATACCAAATAAAATTTAATAATATTGGATAAATATATATTTTAGTGCTTTCATTTATATTCAGGTAGATTATATACTATAAATCTTGTAAAATAGTCTGCCTTTTATATATTTAATTAATTAATAACCATGTCGTAAGTCTAATCAGACCTGTAGGCGCCTAGTTTGTCGTTTATTAAGTAGTTAATTATAAGTTCTTTTGAACTCACCGTTTCTCAACAGAAAAGTTTTCCATCAAAGCTCAAATTCTAATTTGAAGACGATTAGACGCTTCCTTCAGTGCTGTCGCTTCAAAATAAAAATCACGTCCTCATTGGACGTCTAGAACCAGT